GTTAATTTGTAGAGAAAGTCAAGCCAAGAAAATATCTAAGGCAAGATCAAATCCCTGCCACATATGAAATCCAAGGGCCACAAATGAAACCGGCCCAAATGTGTTAAAAGAGAACCACATAGGCCCAATTAATCCCACATTTATTTTATTTGGTAGTGTTAATTATTGCTTTCCAAGTGAAATCATTTTCACAGTAATTACAATATGTTTTTCAAATATACTCCTCTTTCTCAGTTGTCTTATGTTCATGATGTGTTACCAACATTTAACAGTTTGAGTAATGCTATTCATCCCCACTGGGGATGAAAACACAGTCTACGTGACTTCAGTGTGACATTAAATGAGACTGTGTTTTCATCTCTACTGTGGATGAATAACATTACTCAAATAAATAATGCTAAATCTAAACATCCAACCATCTACTGTAATTCCTGAATGAATACCTTAACTAGGGGAAGAAGCCCTTTCTTAGGTTAACCTTGATTACTGTGGTCCTGTATTTAAATATCATTTAAGAGATGTTTAGTCACCAAGATATGTGGGCAATTATATTTTGGCAGTTCTTTTAATAATTACTCTAACGAAATATCATCGGAAAATAATAAAGAAAATAGAATAAGATTTTGTGTGTCGTGATGTCCAGTTATCCATGCCACATACAAAATGCTCTCGAAGTGTTTAAGGATAAATATTTTGCGTGGCTCAACTCTTTGTGTCATTATGTTGTATATTTATTTTCATATTTATTCGATGTGAGATAATTGTCTTTAATATGAAGATGATTGAAAGTATCGGTGTCCAAAAATTTATAAATAATTTATTTTCTTAATATCATCTTTTTTTTGTTTTTTAACACATTTCCAAAATGTTACAATATTTTTCTCAATCATTATACATAAAAAAAAAAAAAAAAAATCCTATATTTAGAGGGCATTTCATATTTCTTAGCTGCAGCCAGAAATTGGTCCCAAAATATTGGTAATTACACAAAACCCTATGTTTCAATATCCAACTTCCAAAATTAGATCCAAGTTTTATTAACTCCAAAATCAGATATTTAATATTT